CTGTCTTACCCCTACAGTAAAACATGGGAGTGGATCAGTGACGATCTGGAGTTGTTTCAGTATGGGTGGAACAGGGCAAATCCAACTGTGTGAAGGGCAAATGAACCAGGTCATGTACAGGACTACTCTTGAAAACAGTCTTCTTCCATCAGCCTGAAAACTCTTTGCTGCCTTCAATGATTGGATTCTCCAACAAGACAATGCCCCTTGCCACACGGCAAGGTCAGTTCAAGCCTGGATGGAGAACCAGAACATTGGAACCATGCCTTGGCCTGCTCAATCACCTGATCTATATCTAATTTAAAACCTATGGTATATCATCAAGCGCAAAATGGAGATCCACAAGCCCAAAAAAAAAGCAAATTTGTTTGAATTTGTGCAACAGGAATGGGCTGCTGTGACAGCAGAACAATGTCAGAAGCTGGTGGAGAGCATGCCAAGACGCATGGCTGCAGTCATCAAAAACAATGTTTATGCAATCAAGTACTAACTCCTGTGTGCATCATGTGACTAAAAAAGAAAACATGGAATATCTAAAAGCACTGTTTTTGGCAGTACAATGCCATAACTACTGATGTAAGAACTGAAGTGATTTTGGTTATTATCAAGAAAACCATGGAAAATAACTAGATATCAGCTCTTCAATTAAACTCTTATGAGCTGTTTTTGTTGTTATCATTATATTTGTCCAAACAAATGTACTTTTAGTTGTACCAGACATTAAAATGAACAAGAAATCAAAGAAAACAAGAGTGGTCTAATAATTTTTCCATGACTGTGTATGTATATTTACTGGAGTGTGTTTTTGCACTGATTTAATCTGCATTTGTCTGCGATGTTCTCACATTTTCATATATCGTGAAAGAAGTAACCACAACATGCAGGTGTTGTTCCACCATGAGTTTCAGGAACAGCTTCAGGGCTCCTTGCCATATATTGTCCAAGCATTGTTCTGAAACATTTTCTGTTATTTGACGTTTGAATAGTGAAGGGGTGTGATGTCAATTAGAGGCATTCAGCTAGGTTGAGATCTTGCAGCGGTCTGTAGCCTATAGCATTCAGTGTTTTCATGTCACACGTCTGTGTACTTTTGTCTAGTTTATGTTTCTTTTGACACATATTTTAGGTCATTTTACAGCATTGGGTGGAAGTCTAAAATATTAACCCACTCAGGCCAACACATTGGTCAACCCAGCTGAGCCACCTTCACAACCCACCTTTGATTGGACGAGACTCTGAAATGACTCAGTTTTCACATGAATGTGGTCTTTATGTGGGTGACCATTCAGAATCACGTGACTTCTTACCAAAATTAAACTCAGATCCACACCGTGTTGCCGTAATGTTCATAGTTTAGTTTCATGGAGAGCATACAGCCCAATGATCAGATGGATGTCTGGAGCGGCTCCACCCTGAGGACTGAACATGGCAAGTGCAGTGGAAAGAACACATATAACAACAGCAGTGGTGTAGCAGGCCTAGGTTGGACCTCTATGTTATGTAAATTGCAACAATACTAATTTAACTAACGTCAAGCTGTCTGATTTGAATGGATCCAATGCCGGTTGAATGCATTTAACTGAACTGACGTCGTACATGCTTCTGCTGCCTGACAGTGGCCATAGCTGCTCTGTTTACTGCTCTCTGTGAGTGAGTCCTTATTCTCTGAGACTGTGACTGTCGGTGGGCTTTGAGAACAGATTCATCTCTAATAAACCCCTGCTGTGGGATGAGACAGAATGTGGCCTAAGTAGCAGGCACATACACATATATAACACATACAGGCATTTCACAGGGGGTTGAGGATTATATCTACAGCCAGACAGACAGAAGGACAAGAGGATCTGTTGTTCTTAAGTCCAACAATCTTAACGTTTCTACAGAGTGATCCTCCTTACCCAAGTCTGAATTTCAAAACCAAATTACATGGTCAGCGAAAAAAAATAAAATAAATAAATATCATTTGATTTCCTGACTATCCATGACTGCTGCAGTCTGTTAAAAGCTACTTTAAATGCTGGTTTATGGACGGCCAAACGGGTCCGTGTGGACAATCGTAGACAGATGCCGAAATTTGCATCATGCATAAATGGAAATTCTGAATTGTCCTTAAGGCAGAACTTGTCAATTCAGAAACGTTACAAGTCTGGGTGGGCATAAATCACTCCCAAATTCATCTAATGACAATGGAAGCCAGACAACAGCTGAATAATAATACTGTGTTTTCCCCAGTGTCCTGCTGTTATCTCATCTCGCAGCTTGTCTGCAGCTGTGATTTGAGAACAGATTCTCTCTTCATGGTTTTGATGAAGCCTAATTTCAAAATTTAATCAGACTTTTAAAACTCCTCAAATCAGTGCTGGGCCTTGTTGACAGTCACAAGCACAAAGATTCTGGGCTAAGCAGATGGAAATTACAGTTTGCACATGGCAAGTTACAGACCTGTACTTCACTCCGATCTCAGAAGTCTGTTTCTAAGACTACCTCATAACTACAGAGACAATAATGTCCAAAGCGAGGAGGGTCTTCTCTGTAGTCACAGAATTATTTACATCTCGTTTAAATACATCATGTAATCTTGAAACCTCATTTGAATTCAGCTCTAACAGGCAAGTGTCTGTCTAACTTTGTGTCTGTCTTTGTCACACACACAATCAGATTGTGTGTATGTGTGTGCATGTGTATGTGGAGGAGGCTTGTTTTGTCCTTTCGAGTATGTGAGGAGAACTTGTAAAGGCTCCTCTGTTTTCCACTGACTTCCTGTTTCCTGTCCATGAAAGGACCAACCACATCAGTGCATATGTTGGAACTAGTGGTGAGCCAGTTCTGTCCTTGTGACATGTCTGTAATTAGGCCGTGGTTTGAACAGTGAGCCAGTTATACACACTGCTGACTTGAAGAACATGATGTGATATGCTCATCTTACAGTGACTGTCTTCAAGCTGTACCAAAGAATCGGTTTCTTTAGCTTGTCAGTTGCTGCCATGTGCCGACTTGACATTTTTCCACCTGCTTCTCTCCAGGACTGTAAAGCAATGTATCTCAAACCGAGTTTGACATAGCCAGACTTTCTTTGTGTCTCAGTTTGTGTATCCTCATTTCTTTCCTGGATTCCTGTCCTCATGTCCCTCCCACCAGAGATGTGAGTGGAGGAGGAGAGAAAAAGACATGAGGAAAGAGGAGCTGAGGCAACCGCTATTCAACAAAATGAGACATCCTTACCTCTCTTACCTATTGTTTTAAACTGACGTTAGTGGCCCAGCTGTATCATTGTTCCATTGTTTTGTTTTTTTTACAGTACAGCTGCACTTTATGATCTGTCAGATGAGCAGAATAGTGTCCGTGATAATGCACAGTATATATTTACTTCTAATTCACTTGATGTGGCAGAATGTGACAAGAATGTACAGATGTACATTTTATTTTCTTATTTAACACAACACCTGTAAAGTATGACACACAGATACTCATCAGGAGCGACATATATTATGATTGAGTGATAAATGTTATACATTTGTCAGTCCTGCTCCCAGCATAGTTTGTGTATTTTAGCTGTGTCCTACATCTTTTATGTCATAGGTGCAGAAACCCCTGCAAAGAATACACCTGTGCTTCCTCGTCATAGGTGTACCAGCAAGCCTCTGTCCTTGAGATGCATGTTAGAAATTCAGACATCCTTCATGATGGCATGCCAAGATTGATGTCAGCGTCACAGGCAGGAGAAAAGAGGACAGAGGAGACGAGAAGGCTAAAATGAGTGAAATTAAATGTGCTTACCGTTTCCACAGTAACACAGAGTATTGCCCGTGCCATCAACTGATATCTCTATACTTGCAACACTCCAGAGCTGCTGGACAATGTTGATCTAATGAGTCGTAGAAAAGACAGCTGAGCGCCACCACAGTGCAGCTGTTGTGAAGTCTTAATACCCTCACACTCCGCTGATAATAGTGAGAATAACTACTGCTAGTATTGAAGTGTATGTAGCACGGGGCGGCATGATGTTGGAAAAAAACTGACATATATATTTTGTTTTTGTGTGATATGTATTGCCAAAGAAAAAAAAGGGGAAACAAACAACTGAAAGATGCAGTCTGTGGTCAAAGCACTGCAGCCTCGTCCACTTGTCAGGGCAGCAGCCTTCACCTTGTTCACCACATGGTCATTATACATACTGGACATCTCTCATTGAGGCCTCAAAACCCAACACTTCTTTTATCCCCACTGCCATGTTTTCACTTTTTGGTCATCTGGGAAATCAAACAGCAGCTTTTCAGGTGTGTGCTGCACTATATTCCTCTGTTTCAACTTGTGCTTTGAATTTTTTTATACAACTTTGAGATGGACAGTTGGTGGCAACAGTAGGTACCAGGTGATATTCTACCAATTGTCAAGCAGCCAGATCATGTTTTAAAAACATTCTTTGTAACTGTGTTTATTTATCGTATTATTAGGGGAAAAGTTATGGCATCAGTGATTTGTCCCTGCTTTGGAACTTTTCTCAAATGGCATAACACCAACAAAGGCAAACAATATAGTTTTTGCTTCAGGTGGCGTTCAAATCTGTTATGTCATTTCTATGATTTGACTTTGGGCATATTGCAATATTGATGCAGACACAAAATATGGCACAGCTGTAAAGCGTACCTAAGATAAAGCAGGTAAAGCACTTTATTACCATGTTTTGTCATTCTGTGGGAAGAGGAGTGTTAGCCTCAAAGTGTGCAGAAGGATGGGGCATTCTGTTGTGTTTTTTAGTATAATTTTTCAAATAACTTCTATAGTTTCATATTTTTTCTTTTCCTGAATGAATATATTAATGGAGTTGTTTGGTTCGTTTTAGTCATTGTGACATGTCGGAGGTCTTTTTAATAATTACATTAATTTTTTTTCCGAGCAGCAGCAGCACTGTGAAGTTCACTTTTTGTTGTTCTGATATACTTTCTCCTGCATGATGAATGCTAGCATTTCAACTGTTTTTTTGTTTTTTTTTCCCCTAGAGTCGAGCACCATGAGACTGAATCCGCAACAAGCTCCACTATATGTAAGTATCTGTTGTTATCACACAGCATTATACTGAGCTGTGGAGTGTTGCACTGCTGCCTCACTCTGTGATGGCGGCCTCCAGCAGGTTTACAGCACTCACTTTTATTGTGCTTTCTGAGGACAAACGAAGCTCTGCCAAATCTTTTCTCTCCAGTGGTTAGTCTGGACATAGCAGATGCTGATCTTTTGGGACTGTGTATTATAGGCATTATCATGTGCCAGCAAGCTTAAAGGTTGCTGCTGTTTTCCAGCAATTAATGCTATTACAGCGGTTAGAACTAATAGTGACTGATCATTAGCTGCTACATCTGATAATTAGTTATAATCGGATATCAACACTTGTTTTTTACGGTGCAGTTGCTGGCTATTGGGTGTCTCATTTGAGTCCAAGTCACTGCAAGGTTTTCTTCATCTTCTGATGTGTAAAACCATGTCCTAAAATTACGTTCCTGTACAACTAAATATCAATAATTTCCCAGGCCTGGGATAAATAAAGTATTTTTCTATTCTATTCTATTCTAAACTACATCTACATTTACATTTCAAAAGGAGCAAACACATTTTCTCACCTGTGACATTATAAGAAATGTACGGAAGAGGATTAGGGCCACTGAAGAAAAAAAAAAAATCTGAGAAAAAAGTCAGAATTCTGACTTTTTCCCAGAACATTAAGAAAAAAAAAATTCTGGGAGATTTGGGGTCTTTTCAATCTCTGAAAAAA